AATCGTCGAAATTTTTTAATACAAATAAACATAATAAAATAAACTTCCAGTATCCTGTGTTTTTTTTATCGCTACAAATATTATATTAATATTATATTATATATTATTATTATTATTATTATTATATGTTGTATTATATTAATATTATATTATATTATATTCTTTTTTTTGTTCAAATGCTACGCTTTATATACAAAATATATGTAAAACTTCATCTTTTTTCTTTCTTTGTATTGTACCGGCAGGATGTTACCGGCATTAATGTTCGTGTAGAACGAAAAAAAGGATATATTTTAATCGGAAGTATTTCTCATGTGGAATATTTCGCAATAAATTTCTTGAAAATTTTTAATTGATATAGCATTTTAATTGATATAGCATAGATATATCATTAGATATAAATTATTAATTATTTATTAAGTTTGAAAAATATAGTTCTGTCCTTGGCCTGTTACATTGCAAATCTGTTAAAAATAATAGCATATTATTGATAAAGATGAGGAAGAGTAAAATTAAGAAAGAAAATAGCAGTCTTTATATATGCAAATGATATAATATTATTAATCGAGGATTTAAAAAAAAAGAGAAGAATATTGCTAGGGAAAAAGTTATTTAAATATGAAAAGATTAGTGTTATTTATGGGTAATAACATACTCTCATCCTTTCTTTTTTATTGTTTCTCATCGTATATTTTATTTTTCATTTTTATCATCTTGTAATTTTTATAAAATTGAAAGATATATCAAATCTTATAAAGAGAAAGGAAGATAGAAAAAAGTAAGTTGAGAATAGAAATAAAAGTATATACGGTAAAAGTATAATAAAATTATATACGATAAAAGTGTATGAATATTTAAGAAATGTTTTGCGATGAAATAGAGTACAGCAATCATACGAACCGTGAAATAATAAATAAAAATGGAGATAAATAAAAGGCGCGCGCGTAGCGCGCGCTGCGTGCTAGTCCTTTCTAAAAAAAGACATGATATCGATACTCGCATCTCTCGAAATTATTGTTGCCGCTTTTCCGTGATACTGATTGGTTCTCTCGCTGCGCTAACTTCGTGAATAGCTGTCATCATATTGATCTCACAGAGGATCGTTTCGACAATTGTGTATCAAGAAGTTAAAAATATTATAGTATAATAGTAGTATAATAGTATTATATTAATTTTTGCTCTTGTGTTGAAAAAAATAATAGCGCGCGTTTGTAATATCTAGTCAAAATAAAAAGATTATATATCTTTCAAATAACAAATAGTCAAACCTATCAAAAATCTAGATATGATTAAGATATGATTAAATTGCGATAATTACCAAATATAACAAAAAAAAATATATATATATATATATATATATATATATATATAATAATAATAATAATAATAATAATATATATATATATATATATATATATATATATATATATATATATATATATATATATATATATATATATATATATACTACTACAC